CGCGGCCTCCCCGCCTCGCGGCCTCCCCGCCTCGCGGCCTCCCCGCCTCGCGGCCTCCCCGCCTCGCGGCCTCCCCGCCTCGCGGCCTCCCCGCCGGCTCACCTCAGCTTGTCGTCGCTCAGGTGGTCGATGTTGAGCGGCTTCCGTCTCTCGGCCAGGATCTTCTTCTTCATCTCCCGGGCCGTCTGCTTCTTGCCTCTCTTCTGGTCGGCCTGGGGGGGACAGGGCGGGCGGGCGGCCTCAGGGGCGCGGCGGGCGGCGGCCCCAGCTCCCCCGCCCTGGGCCCGCGCGCACCTTGGCCAGGTAGCTGCTGTAGTTGGCGCCCATGGAGGACAGGGCCTTCTTCTTCTTGAGGTCGTCCTCGGCTCTCCTCTTGGCGTCCTCCTCCTCCCGCCGGGCCTTCTCCTCCTGCGGAGACCCGTCCCCAGCCCTCAGCGGGTGGCGGGGCTCAAGGGCCCGCCCTGGCCTGGAACGCGCCGGAAGGAGGCTCCCCCGGTCCCGGCCAGGGTCCCGCAAGGGGTCCGCAGGGCGGGGCCTCGGCCAGCGGCTCTGACCGCTGGACGCTGGTGGCGGGGACCCCCCAGGAGAGGAGACCCCGAGACCCTGCACTCCTCAGGGCACTGTCCTCACCGCCAGCCGGTTCTGGCGTTCCCGCTCCTTCTCCGCACGGATCCTCTGCTGCTCAGCTCTCTCCGCCCGGCGCTTCTCCTGCGGCCAGAGCCTCGGTCAGCCCGGCCTCGCCCACCCCAGCCCCGAGTGCCCGAGCCCCCTCCAGCAGGGCCCCCGCACGCACGATTCTCTCCTTGAGAGCGATCAGCTCCTCCTCCTCCTTCTTCCGCGCCTCGAAGTGGCTGTCGATGAGAGCCTGGAGCTCCATGAGGTCCTTGTTCTGGCGTTTCTTCTGGATGTCCTACGGGTGGGGGCAAGAGGGTCCATGGCCACCGTGCAAGCTGAGAGTGGCAAGGGGCCTTCTGTCCTCCCCACGCCCCCGTGGCTGCCGTCCTCCCGGGGCCTGGCGTAGGCAGGGACCGTGCCCTTCCTGTGGGGAAGCCCAGGCCCTGCCCAGACAGCAGGTCCTCGGCACCCCTGGCATGGGCTGGCTCTTCCCCAGCCCTGCCCATCTTCCCAGGGGCCCTGCGTGGCCTGGCAGAGGGAAGGCTGCGGCGAGACAGGGGTGTTGGAGGAAGAGATGGGTGGGTGTGCGAACAGATGGAGGGAGGGAGGATGGATGTGTGGGTGCAGGGGTGGGCGGATAGATGGGTGGGTGGATGGAAGGATGGGAGGATGAAAGAGTGGATGTGTGGATGGGTGCATGGATGATAGCTTCATGGATGGATGGGTAGATGGGTGGATGGACAGATGGATGGATGGATGGATGGATGGATGGATGGATGGATGGATGGATGAGTGAGTGCATGGGTGGATGGATGAGTGACTGGGTAGATGGATGGGTGGGTGGGTGGATGGATGGATGAGTAGGTGAGTGGATGGGTAGATGGATGGATGAGTGGGTGAGTAGATGAGTGGATGGGTGGATGGATGGATGGGTAGATAGATGGATGGATGAGTGGGTGAGTAGGTGAGTGGATGGGTGGATGGATGGATGGGTAGATGGATGGATGAGTGGGTGAGTAGATGAGTGGATGGGTAGATGGATAAGTGACTGGGTGGATGGATGGGTGGGTGGATGGTTGGGTGGATGAGTGGATGGATGGATGGATGGATGGATGGATGGATGAGTGGGTGAGTACATGAGTGGATGGGTGGATGGATGGATGAGTGGGTGAGTACATGAGTGGATGGGTGGATGGATGGATGACTGGGTGGAGGGGTAGATGGGTGGATGGGTGGATGGGTGGATGGATGGATGGATGGATGGATGGATGAGTGGGTGAGTACATGAGTGGATGGGTGGATGAGCGGATGGATGAGTGACTGGGTGGAGGGGTGGATGGGTGGATGGTTGGGTGGATGAGTGGATGGGTGGATGGATGGATGGATGAGTGGGTGAGTAGGTGAGTGCATCGGTGGGTGGATGAGTGACTAGGTGGATGGATGGGTGGATGGATGAATGGGTGAGTTGGTGGATGGATGGGTTGGTGGATGGTTGGGTGGATGGACGGGTGGATGGATGAATGGGTGAGTTGGTGGATGGATGGGTTGGTGGATGGTTGGGTGGATGGATGGGTGGATGGATGGGTGGATGGAGGGTGGATGGATGAATGGGTGAGTTGGTGGATGGATGGGTTGGTGGATGGTTGGGTGGATGGACGGGTGGATGGATGAATGGGTGAGTTGGTGGATGGATGGGTTGGTGGATGGTTGGGTGGATGGATGGGTGGATGGATGAATGGGTGAGTTGGTGGATGGATGGGTTGGTGGATGGTTGGGTGGATGGATGGGTGGATGGATGGGTGGATGGATGGTTGAGTGGATGGATGGGTGGATGGATGGATGAGTGAGTTGGTGGATGGGTGGGTGGGTGAATGGATAGAAAAATGGATGGGAGAGAAGGGAAGACAGATGACAGATGTCTATTCTTAGGGGAGTATCCTCTGGTCCAGGGGTGAACTATGGTAGAATTGCCTGGAACCAGGAAGCCCCACTCTGCGTCTACTCGGGAGAGGTGACCTTCTGAGCCCCAACCCGGAGCCGGAAGGCTGGGGCGTGGGGTGGTGGCTGTGTCGGTCTGAGCCTCACAAACTTACATCAAAGTCTACTTTCTCCCCTTCCGGGATCTTAGGAGCAGTCGGGAGTCTGAAGAGGAGAGAGAGAGAGGCTGGTGAGCCGGGACCCCAGGAGACGTTCCTAGAAGGGTGGTCTGGCCCCTCAGGCCCCAGCCACAGGCCCTGCGCCAGCTGAGGGCACCTGGCTGAGGACACCTGGCCTGAACTTCTTGTCAGATGTACAACCTGCCCTCCCGGCAGTGCTCGGCCCCTTCTAGAAGGGTCCTCCACCTTTCAGTGCCCCCCCACTCCACGGCCCCCGGTCGCTGCTGGGCTGCCTCCCCTTGCACGCCCAGGGCCCTCGGTTTCTCCCTCACACGCGTGGACGGACACGGCGGGCCCAGCCGGGTCAGAGGCCCCGTGGCCAGGGTGGGCTGCACGACCCTTCGAGCTCCTCTGGCCACCCTTTAACCCTTCTTTCTGGGGGGCCGGAGGAAGGCGGGAGTGGGGTGCTGGGAAAAAAAGCACTTGGAAGAGGGGCCCCCCACCCGGCTGGGCTGCGACCCCCTCCTCCCACCAATGCCTTCCAGACGGAGCAAAATGCTTAAAACAACGGCAATTTTTTTTTTTTAAAAAAAAAAACAAGCCGTGGAAGAACGTGGAACTGAATATCGATCAAACACCGGAGTGGGAAAGGGTTTTTCTCTAAGCCCCAGGCACGAGGTCCCTCCACGGGAAGGACAGCCAGATGACTCTGTGCAAATGAAAAACTCATGCAAGTGAAAGAAAAAAAGCAAGAAAAATTGAAAGGCAAAAAAAAAAAGCGCTCACCCAAAAAAAAAAAAAAAAAAAAAAAGAAAAAAAAATATAGACAGTAGATACAGAGGAGACGTATATCGCATGCAAATAGATGATTAAGAAAACATAGAGACGCCTCCGCCGTTAGATAAATGAGCATGGCGCACAAGACGCCCCTTCTGGGGAAGAAAGGCCGCAGTGAGCGCGGCCGCCGGGCCGGCCCCGCGGAATGTGGGGTGCAGCGACCGTGCGATGCCTGGTCTCATCCATCAGGGCCCAGACGTCAAAGCGGGCCTCTGTGCTGGGGCGAGAGGTGTGGGGGGCCCGGGCCCGCGCGCAGCCCACGTAGGAGCCGGCCTTGGCCGGGCGCTTGTGGAAAGCAATTTGGCAGCCCTGCCCGAGCTGCGAGAACATTCGTCCTCTCTGACCCAGTAATTCCAGCGCTGGGCGCGTGCCTAGGGAAATAACCCCGGAGACGCACAGCGCGCCCAGCCCGCGTTATTTATGACGGTCAAACGCCGGGGAAGCCTGGTCCGGGGAGACGGGTAGGAAAATTATGGTTTGTCCGATTGATGGAATATTATGTGGCCATTCAAAATATTTGAAAAGACGGTGTAAAAACATGGAAAAATACTTATGAATAGTGCTAAATCTTTTAAAAAGGCAGGATTCAAGGTCGTATAGACAGCACGGCATTTGAAAAACGGCGCAGAGTCTAAATCTTTTTTTTTTTCCGAGGCCCTCCGCGTGGAAAAAGAGTAGGAAGAAATAGAGCCGGATTCCGTCTCTTTCCTGC